CCAATTCTTTTACTGACAGTCTGCATTTTGCAGTTACAAAGAAAGGATCAATCACTTTATTATTTATCCCAAAAGGTAATCTTATAAAAAATCTTAAAAGAATCACAAATCTAAACTTTTATATATGAGAAAGAATCAGTCATCTCTACTTTGAGTCCTCAGGGTGCATACTCATTCATCAATAGTTTTATATATATATATATCAGGAAGCTTAAGGCAGAAATGGGTACAAGGAATTAATCATTATCCTTGATCACCAACCCATCCTAGCAAGAAAGGCACATCAGGTAATAATAACTGGACTGTCTTTGTTATTGCTTGTTGATCTCAACAAGTCCCTCACTCAACTATGTGCCTTTCTAAACTTTAAATTGTTCCCAAGACTTTCTATCTCAAAGCCATTAACAAAAACATCTTAACCTAACCTTAACCCATTATTCAAAGTTTCAGCTATGATGCACACTGAAACCCATGAACACATCTCCTAGCATTAATATTAAAAGAACTTGAGCTGTCTTAGCTTCTGGGACTCAATTGTTTTTCATAATCATTAGCCTAAGCCACAGTCTATGCAGCTCCTCAAGAGAAACTCATAAATCCTAGCTGTGTGACACTTCCTTGTTCTTCTTCTTTTTTTTTTTTTTTATCCTCTGCAGCCCCTGCTTTACCAGGGACAGGAGCAACACTATATCCTGTTTTTACCTATATGAATTTCCCCACTAAACTAACCTCTATCACAATCCCTTACTATAATTATTAAAAACCTTCAGTCATCAAAATTCTATTTAAGCTAACACTATTATTGTATAAAAACATTGCGTCAGTTGGCCAGTACAGCTTAAGAAGAAATCATCATAATAATCTACAGGTAAAAATGCTCAGTAGAATGGGATAATTACATGAGATAATCACACTACATAAAAGGCAGTGGGGAATCCCCCCACACCCACAAATACCATGCCCGATACCAGAGGAAAATGGCAGTGGCAAACGTGTAAAGGCACAGCAGTAGCAAGAGTCATTCTGGAGCCCAAACCCTCGGGGCCTTGCCTATCTGAGATGTACCCATCAGTGTTTGGCTGCCTGGTGGGCCCATCTCTGGAAGCTCAGTTGCCACCTGCTGCTCCTCTGACATGGCCACCCGCAGAAGGGGTTTAAATACAAGTTTAATTTAGAAGGTCTTAAAGGGAGACCGACCGAGGACTCTCAGAGAGCATGGCTGCTGCCGGAAGGAAGACCAGTGGGTTTTTATTGCCTGGCCCATTCTGGGACTTGAAAGATACTCTCTGGAGTGGCCCCCGGTACCTTAGAGGAACAGCAACGGCACAGCACAGCCGAGGAACACTCAGCTCTCACATGTACCGGTCAATGACTCAGGACACAGCATGTAGAGACAGAGAAGGGTGGCTTTGTAGCCAGCGCAGGCCAGGCCACCCACGGCCACTTTGCAAGCCTTTCAACATTCCCCTCAGGACATGACCCTTCCTGTTTCTTGTTCACGTTCTGGCTGGCAGCCCAGAAGTGGAGGATCAAGGCAGATGATTATAAAATTCAGAACTTGCTCAAGTAAGGCCAGATTTAGTTTGCAAGCTCAGTACTAAAGTAGTTTGGTGGTGGTAGGGTGGAGTATGAGTGATGGACAGGTGATGGAAGGAGGTTGAAAGAGTTGTTAGGGTGGTGACATTTTTAAAAAAAATAACACTGAAATTATCTTGAGTTAATCGTGGTTAAAGAAAAGGAATTTTAAAATGTTGCCACTTTGGCAACATCAGGGGCATCACTGGGGGAAAGACTAATGGGAATATTAGATCTGCAGATGTTTGCTGCTCAAAGGGACAATTAAGTCATAGAAAACTAACTTGGAATGCACTCTACCTACCATCCAGTCCAACTCACTCTGCAGTGGTGGAAGTCATAGCTCAGAGAAGCTCACTTTCCAAAGCCTTACTTTGAATTAAAAAGGACAACCAAGGTGAGTACCCAGGTTACTGGGTTTCTGCATTTGCTGTTGTCTTTTGTCACAAAAGTCCCCCCCCCCCCCCCAATCTTATGATGTTTGTACTATGGATTAAGACAGAGAGCCCATCATGGTATCCAACCAGCAGTGAACGTCTGATGAACAGAGAGGACTGGGTAAATTTTCCAAGTACCTCCAGAGCTAAGTAGTACTTTAGGAGGCCTTCTTTATGTAGATGTGAAAATGAAAACATTTGAGAAACCACTTAGACCACTTTCCCTATAGTAGAGGTTTTTCTTTTTTCTCTTTTTATACATTTGCCAAGCAGGTCATCTGGCATAGCAGCATCATATTTAATAAGGTAGAATATTTGCCAAGACCAGTTAGTTTATGTCTCTGGCTGCATGTGGCAACTCAACACATTCTGTGAACTGTGATATATTCATATGACACCTATCTGTCTTAGCATGCATGTTAACTTTCATGGTGGGTCAGGATATGAGGTCTGTTGCAAACAGGAGACATCTTCACTATTGACTCCTAGAATGGGCATAATAAATAATAATCAGACCTGTGCCTCCAGACATCTGACAAAACTGATAAATTTCAGGTTTTCATTAAGTGAAATTTGTAGCATGAACTTTAATAGGTCTTATTAATAAAACAAACCTGGGGCCAGGTATTGGGGTGAATGCTGGAAAATCAGAGAAGCAGAACAAGCCACAGCCACCTCACCTCGCCAATTCCTCAGCTGATCCTGTTTCCTCAGACTGGAAGTCTCTCAGCTGAACTGTGCTGCTCAAAAGCCTAAAAGCTTAACCAGCCTGGTTCCTGGTCCTCATTCCTTATATACCTTTCTGCTATCACTTCCTGGGATTAAAGGCTCTTGTTACCACGCCTGACTGTTTCCAGTGTGGCCTTGAACTCACAGAGATCCAGGCAGATATCTGCCTCTGGAATACTAGGATTAAAGGCGTGTGTGCCACCATTTTCTGGCCTCTATATCTAGTGGCTGTTCTGTTCTCTGACCCCAGATAAGTTTATTAGGGTGCACAATATTTTGGGGAACACAATACCACCACATTTCCCCTTTTTTGTCTAAAATTTTAAAAAGCTTGTAACTAATACAATAAAAACTATATACAATAAGAATATACAATATATACAGTCAAGAATTATATTAACAATGTCTAGTTCATTAACATTTGACAGATTCAGACAAAAAACTCCATTATATATATTAACAATGTCTAGTCCAGTAACATTTGATAAACTCAGACCAAAAATTTTCATTATGTATTCTATGCAAAACAAGTAGTTCCTTTTTAAAAGTAGATTCAATAATCTCCCTTTTTATCTTATCATATGCATATTCTCTCTTTTTTCTTTTCATAATAGATTCAATAATCTACCTTTTGTCATTTTTTATCTTCCCCCTTTTTCTTTTTAGAGTAGATTCAGTGATCTACCCATTTATCCTATTATTTCTTTATCTTTTTTTCTCAGAGTAGATTCAATGATCTACCTCATATCTATATTCTCTTTTTTCTTTTTCTTTTGTTTCAAACAAAAACTCTGAATCTAATCTCCTTGTTCAGCTTTTTTCCTGACCATTAAAAATTAACAACTTGTAACCAACCATCATAAACAATGACAATTATCCATAAGTCATTGAACAACCAAAAAACTACCCACCCCACCTCTTGGGAATGTGGGTGTTGTTTTCTTAAAATTACTTCCTGCTTTCTGGGGGTGAAGATATCTTTTGGGAAAATTTTTGGGTTAATTGTCAAGTCCTGTATCATTTGTCTAGTCACTGCATAATGAGAAAGTGCAAGGCTTGTTTCAAGTCCTTGTTCCAAGTAGTCTGTCAGGCTGGATCATCTCAGCTAGCCATCTCAAAATTGTCCTGAACAGTTTGTAGTCCAAAGTCGATCTTTCCATGGTGTTAATCAGCTTAATGGCTTTACCATAGTCCATGTGGAATCATCCTTGTGGGTCCCGTCATTCTTTTGAAGATTTCAAAGTTACTGTTAGGCGTGGTCATGGTTCCCTGCAGACATTTTTTTTTTTTTTTTGGTGCCTCCTCTGTGGTTTGGAGCAATCACAGTCTGATGAATGTCTGTCTCTCGGAACCATGAATGTTCTTCCCTAGAGGAGAATATCTTCACAGCAATTTCTCCCCACCATTTGTCTTGCCAAACTTTTCCAAACTGACCTTTGCCGATGCTTTCTTGTAACACGAAGGTTCAGGCAATTCTTCTCTGAACAAGCAGCAGTAAACCTTTTATCCCAGGTAGCAGCATCACTGCAGTCACCAACACAATGAGAAGCGGCCAGCAACTCGGAGCAGCAGCCGCTGTCTCCATGGTCCCACCACCACTGTTTGTGGCTTGGCCCAGGCTGAAGTTTCTCCTTAGCAAGCCTCCTAGGCTGGCCTCAAACTCAGGATCTTCCTGCCTCTGCCTCCTTCAGTAAATCCAACCAGTGTGCTCCATAACTGGCTGAGTGTAGCTTGGGTCTGACCTAGGGCCCACAAGGCCACAGGCAAGAGGCGTTTTCGTGAATTCATACCACGAACGTTGGGCACCAGACGTAGCATGAATTGTTAGAAGGTCTTATTAATAAAATCAAACCTAAAGCCAGGTATTGGGGTGAACGCTGGAAGATCAGAGAAGCAGAACAGGCCACAGCTTCCTAACCTCATCAATGTGGTGGTATTGTGTCCCCCAAAATATTGTGCACCCTAATAAACTTATCTGGGGTCAGAGAACAGAACAGCCACTAGATATGGAGGTCAGAAAATGGTGGCACACACGCCTTTAATCCTAGTATTCCAGAAGTAGATATCTGCCTGGATCTCTGTGAGTTCAAGGCCACACTGGAAACAGCCAGGCGTGGTAACAAGAGCCTTTAATCCCAGGAAGTGATGGCAGAAAGATATATAAGGAATGAGGACCAGGAACCAGGCTGGTTAAGCTTTTAGGCTTTTTTTAGGCTTTTGAGCAGTTCAGCTGAGATCGATTTGGATGAAGACTCAGAAGCTTCCAGTCTGAGGAAATAAGATCAGCTGAGGAATTGGTGAGATGAGGAAGCCTGTTTGTATTTATTTTTGATGCTTTTTACTTAACTTCAAGAATTCTGGTTTTAGTTTTAGTAAGTTACAAATCAGTTCCTCTCGGTGATTAGTAGAAGAGGGATGTTGAGACTGGTATAGAGAGGGATATTCAAGGTTACAGCAATGCCAACTCAATGCTTTTGGTTATAAAGAAAGGGGGTGGGGAGGAAGAGGGAAAGGGTAGCAAAATCAGGAGGGGAAGGAGAGAGAGGGAGAGAAGGGGTGGAGAACAGGAGACTGAAAGGAGGGGAGGCATATGACCATGGTAGTCTTTGGTTGCAGTTAGCATATTCATCAGCAAGTCTTTCTAGCTGCTCTCAACTGTAAAAAGACCATGACATGCCCTCACTTTCTGATGTCAGGCACAGCCTCAAGACTTGTTTGGCTGATACAACATGAGTGGACCTGGTGTGTGCCTCTTCCAGACACAGATGTAAAGGCCCAGGACCCGTGAGTGCTCTCCACATTTCCTTCTTTCTGCTACAATTCTAAGAACGCCTGTTGAGATGAAGCCCTGTCAGCTTGACTCCTGAATGACAACAGTGAGCAGCGTTCCTCTTTCAGCCTGTATTGGGTCTGTCATGTGAACCAGGAAACTCACTTGTTAAGGTATTATTATTTTGTTCCTATAACACAACCCAGTTTATCTCATCTGATGGAGAAAATAGGGAGTTAGCACAGCAAAACTATAAAAATCTGTAGCATTGGCCTAGCTACAAAAGATAGCAATTCAAGTTACGTAGTGACAAAACATTTGGTGTAGGCCAGTGAGTTCTGGTGAAGATGGAACAGATCTGGAGCCCCAGGAAAGGAGGTTGGAAGCTGACTCCTAGCGGCATGTGTTGGTGGTTGCTGACTGTGTTCAGCAAGCTCAAAAAAGAAAAACTGGCAAGCACAAGCAGGAATAAGAAAGGATTCTAGAAAAATAGGGACTTGTGGACTTAGAAGGGATGTTGCTTTTCAAACCCAAATGATTAAAAAGAAAATCGTGCAACTCACCCTAATGACTAATAGCAAAGCTAAGATATTGTCACGTGCTGTTAAAACCGTTGGATGGATTAGGGGTGTAACTGGTGAGGCAGTACCTCCCAAGTCCTTTCAAGTGAGTGAAATGTCCTAGAGAGGGTGTCTGAGTGGTTGACAGTCACTGTGTGACTGGGCAGTGTGAAAGGCAGAATTGAGGAGGAGGAGGGAGGGTAAGGGGCAAGATCAAGAGAACAGACATGGGCTCATGGAGACAAAGAAACTTAATATAAGCATGTTAAAAGCGTGTCTAGAAGACAAACTTATGTTTGTTATGTATGGAGCCTGTAGCCTCAACTCAAGCACTGAGAATGGCAAATGTTTCTGAAAGGTGTACCATCATAAGAACTGCTGGACCAAACTGAGGGACAAGGAGACTATTGAAGACCTAAGTGCCTTCTGCATGGACATGGAGAGAAGATTTCTTAACCATCACTGAGGGCATGTTCTTCAACATCCACATTAGAGATTTCCAAGAAAGACAATAGATGCAGAATAAAACCCCAAAGGGTGAGAGCCTGGGGAGCTACATCTACAGTCTTTTTCAAGAGGATCAGGCCAGTTCAGGGAACATTCTCCAGCATGGGGTGTGGGAGCCTTGCTCTGCCAGAAAGACAGTGGGACTGCTGGGAGTCTCCTATTCCCTCTTTCATTTCCCTTTCATTTATTGGTATAGGATGATCCTAAAACTTCCCCCTTTAGTTCCTGGTGCTTCAGATCAAGAGGAGTCATGCCCCTGTAAAGTCTGGTAGCTCTGAAAAATGAGCCTGCATGAAATCTTAGACATGCACATCACTGGCTGGGAGCAAAAGACAGTAGCTGGGATGCTCTGTTGGCTAGACTTACTGTAAGGAGGTTGACAAGATACAACCATATGGCCACTGCCATTAACTCCCTTAAAAAAATGTAGGCGAGTGTTTCGCTTGTATGTATGTAAGTATGCCATGTGTAGCAGTTCCCACAGAGGCCAGAAGAGGAATTGAGTCCCTTGGAACTGGCTGAAGTTATGGATGGTTGTGAACCACCATGTGGGTGCTGGGAACTGGTCCTGGGTCCTCAGGAAAGAGCAGTCAGTGCTCTTAACTATGGAGTCATCTTTCTAGCCCCCACTACTGTACACTTTAATGGAGATAGGAAGCCCAGAAAAAGGCAGACAAGTGCTTACATAAAACACATTTCAAAATGAAACAATGACAAGAAATCCGTTTCATCCTTCATATTACAAGAGAGAAGTCGTTGATAGCATGCTCTCTTGACAGAGATGTGGGAAGCAGAATGCCCTTGTGTAATGGTCATATAAACTAGTATCATTTTACCAGGAAAAATTTGGCCAGATTCTCTTAAAATCAGTAGCGTGACACCTCTTACCTAGAAAAGGTACCTTTTAATATATCACATAGATACATTGATGCACACATGCACAGAACAGTGTGTCTCGAGTTATTAATTTAAGCAGTGCTTGCAGTAGCAAAAGGCTGGAAACCATTGAAATGTCTACTAATGAAGGACTGGCTGTATAAAGTAGGTTTATTCATACAATTAAATATCACTAAAATGAAGTGTACAATGATAAAACACAGAATCTGAGATATTTAAGTTAAAAAGGAAGAAATATATAAAGTATGGTAATGCTTGTATTTTTAAAAGATGGAGTCCTATTGAGCAAGTTGTATCTACATATTTAGGAATATATGTGTGTGTCCATATCTATATCTATTCTATACATACATACATACATACATACATACGTGTGTGTGTGTGTGTGTGTGTGTGTGTGTGTGTGTAACAACAATTAAAAAAGAGGCCATGAATTGATCAAGGGGAAAGGCACATGGAGAGGGCTGGAGAGAGGAAAGGGAAGGAGAAAATGATATAATTATATTTTACTTTAAAAAAAATTAAAAATTAGTTATAAAAGGAGGAGTCCCTTTTGGAAAGCTCTATTGTAAGCTTGCATGGGCACTCCATACCAAAATACAATTAATTAAAATAAATAATATAGTAAAACTTCAGCTTTCCTTGTCTTCTTCTACCCCCAGCTGCCGTGTGTTGAGTTCATTTCTTACCATTCCATCATGTGGCCCTGGAGAGCTTTCTTTGTCTGACATCAGTATGCATTATTAGGCCAGAAAGGACTTAACATTGTTTCAGCCACACAGGAATTTTGTGCTGGGATGATTTTTCTCATACTTAAAAGACTGACCTTCTACTATAATCAACCCTACACACTATGTATATCTGTGCTACGATAAGCTAGATTAAATCACAATTCAATGTGATGGTCACGTTTTGGCTCAATATATTATGCTTCCATTTATCACTTGGTAAAAGGTATTTTGAAACAGTATTAAAGTTTCTGTGTTCTTAGAGGTCGTATGTAAAGCCATGTAAGCTAGCCACAAAGAACAGGACATGAAACACCCACTGCTTCAAAGGGAAGCAAGAAACATTATTTTGAATGAGATGCTCATATTTTGCACCTTTATCGAACCCCTGTACTCTAGGCTCTTCTGTATATTCTGCTATTCCTGAATAAGATAACAAAGTGATCTTCGAAGATGGTCTAATTTTTCCTTTAATTTTACAGAGGAAGCACCTGGGGCCCAGAGAAAATAAATCTTCTAAAATCACAAAGACAGAAGATAAATCAACCCTGCTCCCCTGAAGCTTCGGACTCTATAATATGAACATCACCCTGGCTCCCCATGCAGGCCTGTAAACACCTTTGACTGTGCCTCTAAATCACAATGCTTCAGGTTGGTGTCTTCAAGGGTTCCCTTTCTCCTTTTCTAGGAAGACGACTTGTTGCAAACATTTGCTGGAGAGCCAGATAGTATGGTTGGCGTGAAGACTGGGGGTTGTCTATTCGTCTCCACTTTAAAATGTGTGAAGTGCCTTTCTCCCCTCATGGTTACCATATGAGTATTGATTTTAATTAGTTCTGTCTATTAAGATTCCCCTTAGGTTCAGAAGCCGGCTCAGTAATTAACTGCTCATCTTTCCTAAGGCTGGCAGCATTGGTAGGTGAGTTACTGCTCCTGATCCGATCCTTGGATCAATGCTATCCTGTGGTTCTCCCCTAAAGAGTTGGGGTTCAGACTCAATTTCGGCCTCAGGTTGCTCTTTCATATCTTGTCATGGCAAAAGAGGCCATGGTATGATGTTCTTCATGGCAGACACACCTGCATCACAACCCCCAGTAGTGTGTACATCATCAGCAACTAATGTGACGTGTCCAGATGGAGTTTCTGAGGCCTTTTTGATACTACCCAGTTGACATCAGACATCACAATTTGTGCTTCCTGAATGGCTGTGGTACTTTCATTCTGCGGAGCAGGACTATTTCTTCTGCTTTATGTCATTCTAAATTCGGGATTCTAAGTTAGGGATTGAGTTGTCAGACGTTGATGGGTATGTGAAACCTATTCTCTCAGGAAATGCATGTGGTATGCAGACTCTTAGCATAGTATTTCTGAAATTTAATTCCTAAAGTGTGTGTTTTGTACTTTTGTAGTCTTCATTGACCAAATTTGTGTTGTATTTGCAGTAGCAATGTAATAGGTATTTGAGATAATCATAATGATGTTGGAAATTGGAAGCAATCGATTAATAATTATGTATGAACCATGACAGCAATCCTTTTAGATTAAATAAAAATCTCTGGCATTTTCTGGGCTCTGTTATTAAGGGTGATCCATTATTTAGCAAAACAGCTAACAGTTGAATGTTCATTTTGTGATGTTCGGAAGCTCTGGGTTCGCAGTGATTAGGAGGAGACCACAGAATTCTCAGCGTTCCATAGAATAGATGTTGAAATGGAGAGTTCCCAGGCCCATCTGTTCCTGAGTGCCACGTGACCTTCAGTTATGACGGGCCCTCCCTCCAGCAGTGTCCCTTATGTCTCCACAGACTCTCTGTGATTTATTTCTCGAGGTTGGTGGCTCAGACTGTCAATCAAAGCTGAGGGTTCTCATTCTTGCCTGGTCAGTTTGAGAGCACTGGACTAGAATAGAAGCTGAGCTCACGTGTGGACGAGGGCCAGAAGAACTGGATCGGGGGACCCAGAGCGGTCATGCTAAAACAAATTATATTATAACCTGGCAACCATCTCCTCTTATCTATTCTTAGATAACATTTTAAGTAACTCATATGGCAGGCTGAGAGGAGGTACTTGGTGTCCTGCATCCTGTGCCTAAAAAGGAACACTCGGAGAAGGAAAGCACAGGTACGCGCCGCTATCCAGTACAGATTTTCTGCAGTGCCGGGGAAGGAGAAACACTATGACTGACCCTGGTGGTGCAGCTCATGAGTTTACTCATTCAGTCATCTTTATTGAGTACATGCTACTTCTGTGGTACCACGAGATGCAGAAACTGTGTTTCTTGTCCTTAAGCAGACTATATCTAGGAGCAATTTAATCTGATCAAAGATACTGTGCTGTCTGTGAAGCCGGTGAACTGAAGTGGGAACATCAGGGACCGTGAGCCGCTGCCAGGTAATTGAGCCTGAGGATAAGGTATTCATGTGGTAGGGTCCAACAAGACGAGGGTCACACATAAATACGTGTAGGAACACGGCTCACAGCTGGATTTTAAGGGCAATTACGCAACTATGACAATTCTAAGCAAGATCTGATTTCCCTTTAGACTCCAGACCTACAAAATAGGGCTTGTGTTATCTATCTCTTCTCACAGCAGTGCTTAATGATGTGTCTGCGCAGCCCCAGAACAATCCTTTACATGAGCAAGTGAGTGACAGTCATTGACAAAATTTGCTGGGAATTAATTTTCTGCTGTTCCCCAGTGAGCACATGCATTTTCTGCTTCAAGATTATTGTTGCAGACAAAAGACATGCAGAATAAAATGGGGTTTTATTTGATCCATGTTAAACACACTACTGGAGAGGCATGGGGGGGGGGTGGAGGGGTGGGGGGTGGGGAGTATTCATGTTTCTTCCAGAGAAGGTTAGATAGAGGCTAAAGTTGCCAGCAGTGAAACATTAAATGTTTGAGCACTAAGCTACTTGGAGATTGTTTAATAATGTTATACTCCGAGGCCATTGCTTCAGGTGTCTGATATATGGCTATTTGCAGTGTTTCTCTTCTGGAGTATAGTACTCTTGGGGAGAATAAATAGGACTAGGAAATAAGACCTCTTTTTTTTTTTCAAGCAGCTCCCTTAAGGTTGCCCACAGTTTATTCTGTGAAAGGATTATTTTAGGGGAAATCAACAAGATTTTACATGCCAAATTAGATCAAAATGCAAGTTTGCTCTTTGTATAGGACCTCCAAATGGCATAGAATAGAAGCATCCTTCTAGAATCAGTTTGATAGATTGGCTTTAGATCTTGGCTTTGCTCGTATTGATACTTGCCAACTTACAGGAATTCTCTGTGCCTTGAAAAGTATATACTTTATAACGTTATTGTGAGGATTAAACAAATTAATTATGTTTCCAATTGTATATCCAGCTTGTATATCCAGCTGAACAATACTGAAAACGCCTGACTGTATCACAACTGCTTGAGGTTGTGAAGGTAATGTCAAACACTACCCATTTGCTATTGTTTCTTCCTGAGGACCACCAAGCTTCTTGCTTGTTAGTGACTGCTTTGTTTTGTAACCCCAGAAATGATTTGAGGAGCCATGGTGTGATTATGGTTACTTACCTGAAGATCTAGACTAATTCCTCAGATTGACTTCATTCACTAAGGCTGCGTGTTGGATACATTTGTACATAATTTATTCTGTATTTCCAAAAGGGAGCCAAAGTGTTTATTTGGGGTTTGTGTCCTCCAACTGCACTGGTATTTCCTGGGGGGTGCATGTTTCGAGAACTGTATACAGAGACCCCATTGTTCCCAAAACCATGTGGCCAAGCAAATTTGACAATTACCTCCTTGTTGGAAGCAAATCTGTGGTGAGTTTGCTGAGGGTAAAATTTCTGTTGACAAATCCAAGACAAGGTCAAAAGGATCCTCCTTGCCTTGCATAGAGTGTGACTGAACCAATATGTGAGCTTTCTGATACACGGGTTACTTCTCCCATTCCAGGAGGCCTATGAAGGCCTCCTCAGCACCTACATGTTCAGGCTGGTGATTGCTAGGTTCCCATTGCTGTTCATCTTTAAAATAAATAGTTCAAAGCAAACAGAAGAGTAGATCAAACTTTCTTAGTATTAGGCACTGGAATAGCTACTTTCTGAGAAGAATCTTGAGAAACAGAGAACATAGTTGAAGTTTAAGAAGCTAGTGGTTTCTTTTAATCTGACCTGGAGGGCTGGAGTGTAGCTCAGTGATAGAGTGGCTGGCTCAGCATGTGTGAAGCCCTGATTTTGATCTTGAACAACAGAAGGAAAAAAATGTTGCAAATATGATGAACCCAGACTAGGGTCGCTTGAGTGATATGTAAGAATCATCCAGCATAGCCACACTTTTGTAGAGGCTGTGTGGTCATCCTCTATCTTTCCCCTTACCTCTGTGGTTTGTGACTAAGCCCCTGCCCTCCCTCTGCCCACACCCTAGCTTTTGGAGAACCAGATACTTTTAGACTTCTTCTCCAGTCAATACAAAACTCATTAGACTGTGGCCCTCTGCTGTCTTCATTCGCAGGCAGCCACCAGAGAAATGATCAGTGTGTCTCACATTGAGGTAAGAGTCACTTTAATTCCAGGGCAGACATGTGTCCATGCATTTGTATGAGCCAGAGACCCAAGGATCAATATGTATTTAGGAAAGAATGTAACTCTCCAGCTGTTCTTCAACAATTGCACCTGAGTTGTTAGTTTTTGTTGCTCTGAATAAGCCAGGACATTAAACATTGCCAGATTCTGAAAATATATTTATGTATTTTTCCATTTGTGATAAAAATAAACTATTTTATCAATATGCTGTGTGGTAATGTATATAGCATATACACTATTAATACATAGTAATGATAGTTTGCTTTATAAGGGGAGAATTTCATCTTTATTTCTTTAAAAATTTGTAATAAAGTATCAGATAGTTATTAGCTATTTGGAGAGAGAAAAAGGCTTTCCCAACAGTGTAGCGAGGCTGGTGAGTGTATGTGGACACACTTCAGTCTGTCTCGGCACTTGCCTTAGCTTATGTTCTTAGAAGCTCAGGCCCTATACCATCTTACCTCTTCTTGGCCCAAGCAAGACTTTACCACAGTTAGACCCTCATGGGGCATGTCCTGACCTTCAACTTCTGTGGATCCCAGTGTCAAGGACAGTATAGCCTTCCCTGCTCACGAGTGAATTCCAGGCAATGGTCATAGTTGATAGCTGAAAATCAAGATTGTTCTATGGAATCCAAGCATAGAGGGTTGACTATGTTAGCCATCCTATCCCACCAGCTACCAAAGTTGAGGTGAAGGGAAAGGCACCTGTTTTGTGTCTTTTCAGCATGGTGTCCCTATCTAATTGGACTTAATCACTGCACTGACAAGTCCATGTGACACCTTTTACCAAGAGCCTTTTTGCCAGTTCATTCACTTTACCCTGACACTAGGTTTGTGATATAGATGCTATTGTATAGGTACATTACTTTTTATTGTTTACTAATAATTGATTTGCTTACTTGTGAACCGTTTTTTAGCTTTTTTTGTTGTTGTTCTTTAGCTTTACAATCAGGTGGAGAACTACAGAACGCAACCTTGTAAAGGCAAAGGATGTGTGAGCAGGATTTAATTAGGAGTAGCAGGAAGGTACTGGACTAGGAGACCCAAGGTTTGAGTTTGAGACCTGCTGTCCAGGCTGTTACTGTGGGGGCTGGCTCAAGGACATCCAAGGCCCTGTCTTCTGCTTGGCTCATTCTGTAGCATGTCTTCGTATCTCTGTCTTATTATCTTTCTAGGCTACATGATGACTTTCTGGTTTCTTGTAATGTTTTCTTGGACAGAAAAAGTCAATTATTATTGTTATGATGAATATTATTACTATTGTTGTTATTGTTATTTCTAGTTTTCTCTTGACTCAAGACTGTCAAATAGATGGGATGAATGAGCATTAGTTGAGGGTCTTGCTTTTGCTTGGGGCTTGGCCTATACTATCTTATCAAACCCTTGCAATTATTCTGGGCTTTGGAACTGATTATTTTCCTATCTTATTTTATGTAGTTAGAAGCTACACACATGGGATACTAAGCAATTTGGACAAGATTACATGGTTAGTGCTGAGAAACTTCTATTTATCTGCATTGAATCTGTAAATGGCTTTTAATAGAATGGTCATTTTCATAATATTAGTTCTACTAATACTTGAGCATGGAATATCTATTTTCTAATGTCTAACTCTTTTTTCAGAAATGTAAAATTTTCACTGCAGAGGTCCTTCACTTCCTTGATCAGGCTTGTTCCTAGATATTTTATTTTCTTTGAGGTTGTTGTGTAGGGGTGTGTGTCCATGATCTATTTCCATATATATCTTTGTTATTGGTGCATAAACAAACTCTAGATTTTTGCAAGTGGTTTCCTCCATATTGCCTTAATTGTTGATCATTTCTAGATGTTTTCTGGTAAAATTTTTTTGGGATCTCCTATGCATAATATCATGTAATCTGCAAATAAGGATGGTTTAATTTCTTCTTTTCCTATTTATATCCCTTTGTACTTTATTTCTCCAGCTAGGATTTTGAACACAATATTGAAAAGAAATCAGTAGTAGTGGACAGGCCCCTCTTATTCCTGATTTCACTGAGATTACTTCAATTTTTTTTCTCCATTTAGGATGATGTTGGCTGTAGGTTTCTCATATATATTGTTGCTGACATTTCTTACCTTTCCTGAAGGAAGGGGAAGTTTGGTTTTCCACCTGAGGCCTAGCTAAGAACTAGTACCTTGTTAGCATACTACAAACTGCTCAAACCCTAAATGGACTATGAAGCTTAATGTTAACAGACATTTACATTTTCCATTTTCTCTAAGCATTGTCCAGTTTTGGCGGCAAATTTACAGCTACCTGTGGTTTCATTACCTGAAAAATCTGATGCTTCAAGATTATATAAGCCACTAGCAGGATAAAGAAAGAAACTGCTACTTCTGCAACCAATCTATGGGGACATGACACCTATCCTTAAAGTGGTTGACTTTGTGGCTTTCAGTTATGATTTGAAGTCTGAGAAGTGTTATGAAGTCTCCATGTTGTTCATTCACATAGACACTCACTACCACTAAAGTCATAGCTTCATTTTATTATAGGAATGGCTCCATCATCTTTATATCAATAAGATATTCTGATTTTTCTTGGTATGATGCAAAAGCTACTTACAACTTTGCTACTGTCTTTACTGAAGTCTGAGCCCTTATTAAGACTAATCATTTGACTTTGCACTAATGAGATTAAACTCAGCAGGGACAGATATTTTCTTTTTTAATTTTCATTCCTGTTATTTAATTGGCATTACACACACATAATGAGACCAGAAAAAAACACCTACACCCTGTAGCAATCTGTTTAATACAGATAACTCAAGCAGATGCAGCCAGATGTATCCATGGTGACCTCCTTGACTGTCTCACTCCACATACATCAGGGAAAGTGGCTAAGAATACTAACTCTGCTTGCTGAATGGTGTTTGCTTCTTCCACAACAAAGGGCATTTACCTGTCTTTGTTTTTATCACCCTTTGGGAGTGTTCTTCTCAGCATCTGTAGGAGTGCCACAGTCTGGAGTTGAGTGGATTCTCATCAGTGGCATTCATTGCTGGCTGACTGCCCTTGTGACTTCAGGGTTGCATAGATTCTATCTTAGTGTATACTCAACTGTGGAGAAATGTTAGATTGTCTGAAGGCCAGTAGAACAGGTCACACATAATGGGATTTTTCTCATTGTGTACCATGTTTCTATAGCAAAATCAACTTTTTCTACTCAGAAATCTACTATTCCTTTACTATCATTATTATTTCATGCACATATGCATTGAAATATGATTCCCATTACCCCTTTCCCTTGTCCAACTCCCTGTGAAGATACTATTACTGAAGTGATCAGGAGCTCACAGGATCTCTTTGATGAACCATAGTGGTTAGCTTTTCATTGCCTTTTTTTCCCAGTGCTTTCTCATGGATTCAGGATTTCAGGGTCAGTTTCTTAATCCAAAGGTGCTCAATAAATCACTGTTGCCCAGCAACAATGCAAAGTTTTCTTCCACACATGGGTATGAGCTTCCTTTCTTCCAAAACAGATCCCCTGAAAGTGATGCTAAGTTCCATCTTCCGTGGAACAAACTGTGTGATTCTGTCATACTTCCTGGAACTTTCCTTTGTTTGCACATTACATGGACCAGGAAAGTTTCCATGCCTGTAATATACATATGGAAGATTAACAAACTATTGAAGGGACAGTGCAGAGGAAGTCCCACTCACCCCACTGAGTTCTGCCCTCTGCTCTGGTTTTCCTTACTCCAAAGCTGTTTCTCTCCAGTGCCTTGGTAATGCAGGAACCCAGAGAGCAACATCAAACCTCCCTTCTCTCTATTGAGAGAGAGAATTTCCCTGCCTTCATTTCCAAAGCTACCACCATGGCACCTGTGGTTTATGACCAGGTTAATAAGGCTCCAGTCACCTTGTCTGTTCAAAACCTCCCCCTCTGCTCTTCATTCCCAGACTGTATTGCTGCTTTAAAACACAAGTCGGTTCATTTCCTACCACATTTAAGACCTTTAGTGGTTCCTATTACTTTTGGACAAAATGAAATAAACCCCCTAAATCCAAACTGAAGTCAATTAGATTCTTGATAATCATAGTCAATTAGCCCATGGCCTGCAGAGCTCCCTATGATGTGGGATCTGGCCATCATTTGCCAAGATGCCAACCTTTCTTATTTGGATTTCTCCATGACCACCTTTCCTTTACTCTAAGCTGAAGACAAAATGATCAGCTTCCCTTCAAGACCTTTTAGTGTTTCCAGCCCACCCTGCTGTACACATTCCTTCTGTTTCTACTTCAGCCACGACCTGCTTTCATTTCCTAGCCCTAGAAAGGGTTTTGTGTCAGGATTCTATGCTTTATCTGGAACATCTCACCCAATTTGGATTTTTGAATGCTGTGTGGCGAGGTATGCCTCTGTCATTTCTACCTAAAATGTTTGAGGAACAACAGGTTTTGAACTGTGCACACTACTGTCCCTGGAAATTTACCCCATGCTCCCAGAGTCCATTTGTGTTACTATAGAACAGTTTTCTTCCCTTTCATCTGTCCCATGGGTATATGTTTATGATCTGAACTCTAACCACTCCTGTATTGCTTTAAAAGTGATCTTTAAAATGTGAGAGGCTTGTTTACAGTGACAGCCAGCATTTGCAATTGTTGGGTGACCCCCTAGGGACAATTACTAACCCCCATTCCTTCTTTATTACCAATTATGTCCAGTTTAGGTTAATTTGCTGAAAGATAATTCACCAAATGGCCGATTTCTTTAATTTATCTCTTTTATTTTACTAATTTTAGTCGACAGACTTTGACTTTGTCTTCTTAACACTAAAGAACATTCAATTGACCTCTGCCTCAGTTCTCTGCTACTTAAATTGCACATAGCTGGCCAATTTGGCACCCACACCACTGTGTCTTTCCTTATAGAGCCTCGGGGCTCTTTAGGTATCTGCTCTTCATTCTCAGCTGTGGGATTCCAGAAGAATGGGTCCCATCCATGTTTCAGTTATACTATTTGTACGAGACATGACGAGATGAGATTTGGATAAGTCTGATAAATGAAAAACAATTATGTTTAATCCAAATTCCCTGGGAAAACATAGTACATAGCACAGGCTCTGTGGAAAGCCAAGAGTCCTTCATGAGCAAGGAAGAGGCAGGCCTGCGGACAAGCATCTGCACTGTGGTTTTCTGTGGGAGCTCAGCTGGGAGACTGGCTCCCATGTTTTATGACAGGGCACTCTTGAGGAGTGAGGGATAAGAGATATTAGATAGAAGGATAGAGGGGAGAAAAACAGATAGAAACACAGGATAGCCTCAGGAGGGCCTGGATCATTATCCACCAGCCCCTTCTGTCTCTTCTAAAGGGCTTTTTATAGGAATGCCAATGGGTGGAGCAAAAGACCTCCCCTAGCACAGCCAAGTGCAGACTCTTTCTAATCACCTGGTAACCACACATGTGGTCAAGCAATTTTCTAATGCAGCTCTGCTGGGAAAAGCAAGTTCAGATCCCACTAGGAAACCTTTGTGGGCCTCCACAGTTTTCATGAGAAGAAATGGACAAGGCAGGCTAGGCATATTTAGGGTCTCCAGCTCCTGATCAAATTCAAGTTCACTGAGTCTCTAAGGGTGTACAGGTTGGTGCTATCTAATGTCTCCAGATGTTTATAGGTGAGGCCAGGAGCTAATAATATCTAGTAACCAAATTAGGATTGTTAAATCATCAATCTAAAGAAATCAAAAGCATGGCTACTGTGGTCCCCACTGACCTGCATGGTAGGACCCTGGTGACATATAACACAAGTTTGTTCAATCCTGCTTTGGGTATGAACAGTCTTCCCTCCCCAGGTAGAGAAAATTCTTACTGGAAATTTTGAGCCATGATCTAAACTCGGTCCACTTATCCAGTAGCTCTTACCTCATCCAAGTTACCTAGGAAACACCATCCTTTTTCTAGGACAGGTGATGGATCATTCTGCAGATAGTTGCTCTGAGACATAATACTGCCGTTCTCTTTACTTTCATGAGTGGAACAGACCCATAATCCAAGAACACAGAATGGAGCTGCATGGAGCTAGTCCTATGAACTGGACTTAAGCTGTGATGTGCAACTTACTCACCAGATTCATGGTTCATCTACTGTTCTCTTATTTCATAGTTTGCAGAGTGTAAGAGCATGAGCTCTGCTGTTCCTAATCCTCAGGATGCCCCAAGAGGGTGTTCTATGGATTGAAGAGTAGAACCAGCCACCCAGCAGAGGATCACTGAGGTCTTGTGCACAGTACTGTTTATTTGGATTTACTGTTTATTTATCTGTCCCAGCTTGCCTTGTCTTTTATGGCTGTTTACAGACTTTCAGTTTTCAGTTTTCATCATCAGCATATAGATGGCCTTTGCTCAAGTTGAGATTCCTAGTCAGCCTTTGGGTAAATGCCAAGACCTACCTTTGCCATGCTTCATATCATTCTAGGAAACAACTGATAGAGTGGTAGGAAAGAAATGAAATCTTGAAAGCTACAAACTACAATATGAGAGAGATAGATGACAGGTTATAATTATTATCATGCAAAAGGACTCAGAAATTAATTACCGAAAAAATGAAAAAACATATCATTTGAAAGCTCTTGATGCATGCCACCTGGTTCCTGGAAAAGTTGCAGAACTTTGCTCCTTTGGAGCAGTTTGTCACTCACAAAGGCATTAGCCTTTGTGGTACCTTGATGTGAGGTGAGTGAGGTGTCTTTCCTCTGAAGACAGCCCGGGATTGGCTTCACCTCTTTGCCCTGTGTCCAGATTCCAGGTTGCAGACAACACAATAGCATGTCAGACTTGGTCTCATTTGGAATGTTTTTTGTGTTGTGATTATGTTGCCAGAATTTGATTCACCCTGCCTGTATTTTTGAGAACATGACATCCACCCCCACCTCTCTTTCTCATTCTTCAATGTAGTATCTGACAGTACTGCAGTGTCTGCCATTCTTTAGTGACACATCAACATAGCCCATCCACATTCAGTGAAGTTGACTTGGTCCCTTAGGGTCTCAGTGTTCTGCATGTCTTCTAGATTTCACTTTTCCCTAGTTCTCTAATGGATCACTTGCCAAGCTACACTGGCCTCCAGGATGTTCCCTGAACACACCTTCCCTAATCACACATACCCTAAGGTTCCAGGGCTTTGTACTTGCAGTTTCTACTGCCACAAAATGGACCCATTCATTCCCTCAGCCTCTTCAGGCACAAACTGCTTCCTCCTTACAGAAGCATTTTATGGCCACTGTGAACCTCCTTTACCCTCTGCCCACTTACCCTGCTGTACGTTTCTTCTCTTCTGCTCCCACGTGTTTATTATCTAAGTAGTCATTGTCGTAGTCATCCCATATAGGATGTCAGGCTGACAGGTAAAGATTTCTCTGTGTTTATAAATGTATCTGAAACTGGGTCCGGCATGAAGTAGGACCTTAGAAATATTTGTGGGGAGAAGAGGGTGAATGAACAGAATTCAACTGTCATTCTTCAGAATGCAACAATAAGACATTATTCATATGGTCTGAATGGAAACCATAATGCCCAATGAATCAATGGTCACAAGAGGTTTTTGGAATTTGGAATGGGGAGGAGAACAATAGGGGGGGGGCTTCCTGAGAGTCAGGAACATTTCCAGACAATGTCTTCTACAATTCAGAAAGCAGGGCAAGTTGATCAGTGAAAGGAGGAAGAAGTGTCCTGGAAGAGACAACAATTGAATGGACTGTCGGCCATGGTCTCATTCACTAGGAACTGTTACCTTCTTTTTCCTGGAATAAAACTGTCAAGACATGTTGGACTGAGAAAGGAAGAAATGGATGCTTAAGGTCAATCATTATCATCATCATCATCATCATTTCATGATTTTCTAAAAGCAAAGTCAAGTAACTTTTAGAAATAACAAAATGCTTTCCTTTCTAGGCAAAATCCAAGGGCACTGCAAACATCAGGGAGTAGTCACATCTTTCCATGTGACTACTATGGAAAGTAGTCTTTCTATGGCAGTAGGCAAACAATGAACAAATGTGGCTTCAAAAGCAGGCACACCCTTGATCTTGAATTCCCTGTGTTCCGTCTTATCATGAGATGAGTAGTGGATAGTTTCTATACTGCTTTTCTTTGGCTCCTATAACAAATGGTTACCAACTGGGTGGCTTAAATCATGCAAATCCTACACATTCTATAAAGATCAGTTTCCATTCAGACCATAGATCACTCCCACGGAAAAAGGCAGAAAAGAGTGAGAAAAGGAAAGGGTTGTGTTCATACAAATATAAATATGAGTGCATGTATATGTGTGAGGTGGGGGTGAGAAATTAAGAGAGTATATATATGGATGAGGGGGAGTGAATTATTGTTCTTCTATTTTACCCCTTATAGGTATTTTCAAAACTACAGAGGCATAAACCAACAACAGGATGAGTTATTTTGGATTGACAGCTTTGGATGTAATAGGTGAAAATGGACTAAACATGGTATTTTCTGACTATTCATGTTGGGTTATTTGACATAAATATCCAATATAAGAGTACTTAATCCTTCTAGACTAAATTTTTTGTTACTTTTATTTCTTTGTGGTGACAAATAGGGAGAGACAATCGTGTTGGAAATAAACCTCTGGGAATAGCTGTTTACTTGAGTTCACATGCTACTGGGAAGAGGAGCTAAGCTTGAGGTATTTGACAATAGAGGAACTGAAGACTGTCAGATTCAACCCTGCTTTGTATCAGGTAATCTCTTCTGATGTCTTCAAATACCCTTTTATGTGGGATATTCACTGCTATATTTCTTCTTTGTAAGTGCTCTTTCCATTGGTTTTCTCTGTGCTTTAGTCTAGCTCATGATTCTTGTCATATTCTTCCTCCCATGGGTATTGTCAGAACTACAGGGGGCTAAGCCAGCAGTGACTTGAGCGCTTGGGGATCTGTTGCTTTGGATGTAATGCAAATAGACTACATATGATATTTTCAAATTATTCATATAGAGTTATTTGACATATAATATCCAATATAAAATTGATTAATCCTTCTAGACCATATTCTTTGGTGGCTTATCTTCCAGGAAGCTTCAGAAATGTTTTGCTACTCAGTCTACAGGTAAAGATAATGGCAACTTATGGGATGACTCATCCCTAGCAGGCGTGAGGCCCAGCCAAGTAAAAAAGATACTTTCTGAGAGCCAGCCTGGGTCTGCCTATGGATCTTATCAATATCAATAACAGATCTGGAGATGACCTGGACCAATGAGAGGAAGCCATGTCACACCAGCTGATGCATATTCATCAGACCTCCCCCCAGGGAGGGGTGGAGGGTATATAAGGCTTACCTCTAACTGAGTAAACTGAGCTTGTTGTTTCGACATTCTCCCTGAGTCTGTGTGCCTTTGACTCTGCACCTACTTGGCCCCCTCCCCCAAAGGGAATAACAGCAAGGACCCTGCTACATCAACTCTCTCTCTCTCTCTCTCTCCACCTCCTCCCTCCCTCCCTCCCCTCTCCACAAGTGTGTTACAACAACAGTTCAGATTTAGGTCATCCTACATATTTTATAATATCATTTGAAATTTTCTGTTCTCTAAATTCAAATGCTCCAAAGGACATGATTTCTAGAATTTGGTAAATGCTAACATTTTAAAATAAAATGTTCAAATCACTCTTGTAAAGTTATCTGAATGTGAATTCCATCTTAATTTGCTTCTTACTAGTATCTGTTAAAAAATGCAAGATAATGCTCTGTTTTTAAACCAGTAGGAAATCTTGTATCATTTCTTCTTGTCATAGAAATCATAATTCTGTTTCACTGTGTGAGAGCCAAAGTTAACATTTTAAGTTTTAATTACCGTGTCTTAGAAATCCATGAAACAAAAATGTCTCTGATCTACAAGCCCCTTACCCAAGAACAGATACCTGAAATGCTGGAGGCTGTTGTTTATGGGAGATAACAAGTCAATGTTTTCACTCCCCTAAACAAGTTTGTTTGACTCATCTACACTGGATGTGCTTGATTACATGTGGGCGGAGAATTCACAGATGGGAGGTACTTCAAGGTATATGCTTGCCCCTGATTGGACCTGGTGGTAAATGCAATGAATTATGGGTTTCCTTCTTAAGCCCTTGCCATACTTGATTCTGGGCCATTTCCCAGGTACCTGGGTACGGACTTGGCTGGAGCCCATCCACCTGGCCAGTGTTCAAGTTTGCTTCAACTTTGGCTTTAAACTGTGGTAGTGGTCTTATTCTTGATCAATGGGATTAACAACTTCCCACACAGAAATGCATTCTAATGCAATTTAGTGTGATGTCTGAAAGTCTTTTTAACTCATCATATATCTCTAGAACACAAATGTGTGCTATTTACATTTTAAAAGGATTTCAATCACCTTAAAGCTCTAAAGTGGAATATTTTTCTTCTAGATTGGGTTACTGTTGCAATTGTTTTTTATGTATAATGATGAAGAAGCAGAAATTTGTTGCATATTATAATCAGTTACTTTATTGGAAATATATGCCATTCTGAATTCAGTTTGGGAAGGCTTTTAGATGCCTTGCTTATAAGCTCATGCTTCTTGTCCTTGCCACTTGAGAAGATCCACCAAGCAGTTCCTTGGCTACTTGCCCTTTGTAAAGCAAAAGCATCTTTTGAATGGGGGATCCTTGTTTGACTGCAGGTGCTATTCCTGGTCATTCAGTTTTAGGATTGTGTGCTCAGAAGCTCCTCAGATGTCTGTGTCTATGTCAGGGTAACAATAGCCTCTTTTGAACACTCTGTTTGCTACAGAGATGCATTTCTGGCCTATACCAGGGAAGAATAGATGCCAGACTCCTGTCTAGTCTTCAGCCTCAAGATACTCATTTTGGTGGCTAAATGCCTGAGATAAGATAATTTGGCTGTGGCTAGAAGAATGATTCATATTTGCCTTAATATGGGAAACAATAAAAAAGGATGTTAAACTGACAGTATACCATTGCTTAAAGAACAGCCAAAATTCTCAGGCACCAGGACATTAGTTTAACTCAGTGAAGGCTGCAATTAGTTATTTTAAGGAATCTTTAGAAATTATTCTAATACAGTTGCACAATCACAGAGTGGGAAATGACCTCAAAAGCCACAAGATCTTTTGAGGTTCAAATGAACAAAGATCAGTATGGATACCAAAGAAGAGAGCAAGGGTTTGTTATTGAGGACTTGTACCTTTAGGGGAGGTTTTCTACCAGGCCCAGATAACATACAAGCCAAGCAGGCATGTCAAAGCAAGACAAATAATGGTCTTAATAGAATTGCTGAATTGAGCTGGAATTTGGTGGAATTGGCTCAAGGGAAAACAGGACAAGGGACATATTCGTACAGGGTGAAATATTGTCTTGGAATGAAGTAACTCATGAATTTAGCTTTTAAAATGAGCTCAATTTACATTTGAACCAGTTGTTTGGATTAAAAACAAGCCTTTAGATGAAAACATGAAGAGGAATAACCAAGCCCTGTGTTACCTGAAAACCATCTGGGGCGCTCTTGAGGTTTGGTAGCAAGCTCAGCTTTACGAGCTCTTTACTAGTTTTGTGAGTAGGGATGACATCTCTACACACTCTTGTGACAGGTACACATGCTGGACCATCATGAAGAGCTCTTCTGTCTCTCCCAGTTGCAGGGCTTACTCTTTGATAACTCTGCTCCTAGGCAGACAATTACACACCAGCAGAGATCTCCCACGACCTTCTGCTATCACCTTGGTTTCTTGGCAGGTGTGATCTACTATTTTAATATAGACAGTGTTAGAGAGTGTGAGGTACTGGACACTTCAGAAAAAAATTTGAGGGCAAGTGCAAGAGTGTTCTTTTGCCTTTATTTATGCTCTGGCTTCCTGATGATGCACATTTATTGAAAAGATATAAATAGCTCCGCTACTGTGAATTTATCCTGGGATATCTCTAATGATAAGAATTTTGTTGCTTTAATGCTAAGAAAGGTAATTGTTTTAAAGACTTGGTCTTTTCTGTGCTTGGAGTCTGTGGCAATTGAAGATAATGTCATTAAATATTTGGAAATAACATGCCTGCTTAGCATGCACAAAGACCTAGATACAATCCTTGGTATTACAAATGATGATGGTGATGATGATGATGATTCCAGGCAATTTTTAATAACTTAAGTGAATATTAAATGAAAATAATGTAAAAATTTTGAAAATTAATAATTGAGACAAAGAGATTATATTTATATAATATTGCACATTTTGGAGGTTCCAGCCTCATTTTTTAAACCATTCTGTAAAAGTTGGGTGAAAATATATTGATAAACCTGGTGGTGGTGGTGCACACCTTTAATCCCAGTACTCAGGATGAAGAGGCAGGTGGATCTCTGAGTTTGAGGCTAGCCTTATCTATAGAGCAAATTCTAGGACAACCAGAGCACACAGAGAAACCCTGTTTCAAAAAACCCAATATATACATGTATATTTGATACAAACAGTATTCATTAATTAATTCCATGATTTTAGCTTGATGAGTAACAAATATATAGTGTTATTGTGTTTTCATTCAAACTCTGAAATTATTGATGTATGCTTCATAGATTAATACTTCACTTACAATCATATAAATCATATATAATATAAGGTATAAATCATAGATTAACACCTCATTCTATAATTTGTATATTCACACTTATAGTCACTAGGACATTTTGGCAGCCTTTGCTATATAGGAACAACCCACAATCTTGAATTATACCAAGACAAACATGAAAGGACAAGGAAGGGGTGGAGAGAACTGGAGGATTTAATATTTAGAAACATGCTTACTTGGGATTAAATGACCTTTCCCATAAATCAGAAGAGAAAATTGTCAGCTGGGCACTTCCTCATTTGCAGCCTGTATAAGCAGCAGGAAAACGAGCCAAAACACCTTTCGGAGCAAAGCACCATGGACTATGCAATCCAATTCACTCTCACCACTGTCTTTCCAGTAGATATTACTAGAGATAAATCAGGTGAGGCCCCGTACATCTCACTCCCCGACAGGCTGTTCCTGTTAGGAACATCTTTATTTTATTGCCCAAGGTTGAAGAACTCTTGCCTTTCCAACCATCCTGAGACAGATAAAGTGAGTGTGTGCTGAGTTAGCACCTTGTGATTGGAAAATGATTGATTTGCAACATTGAGACTAGGAAGACTTTGGGTTGCATTATTTCAGAAGGTGGTTATGAGTCAGAGTAACATTTCTTGGGATTAATTGCAAAGTAGCAGGGCTCTGCTATTCTTGGAAATTCTATCTGTTGGTTTGGCATCATGGACACTCTCCTAGTACACTCATGAAATCACAGTAATTTTGTCTATCTTTTTAGACACAAAGAGAAATGTCAGAAAACTCAATGGCCACCTGAGAATTGTAATGATCCTCTCTCAAAGAAAAGGTCTGCCCTCTTTCTTCCTTGAAAAAGAGATTATAATATTTTACTGCTTATTTTCATCTGTCTTCTCTGTCCAACTGTTAATTAACTAACTAGTTAATTAGTTAGAGACAAGGTTGTGCTATGCAGCCCAGGCTGGCTTTGAACACATGATTCTCTTCTCTGCCTCAGTCTCACAAGTGCTGGGATAATAGGCATGTGCCACCATATTAGCCCAACCTTATCTCTGATATTGCTGATTTATTCCTTGCCTGTCCATCCCATTTTCCACTTGGCTAACCCATCATACTCTTCTCTTCTCTGAGTTTCTGTTCATATTTCCCCTC